GACGTGGGTCGGCGTGGGCTCAGACGTACCACCTACCTTTCATTATGTTGCTACGCCTCCACAACCTCAATCTACTCCAACCACCATCTCATTGCACACCAGGATATAACTATTGGGCAGTTGTCTACGAAAAGAGCAATTTTAAATGACTGTTCAGAACAACGTTACAGATATCCTAAAAGAAGCAACGTGCCTTTATAGAGGCGCCATCACACAATTGTGATTATCTCCCATGGGAACCAGTAATGGCAATACGGTATTTGCGCCACCTTCTAAACCATCCCTGCCTTTCTTATAGTGCTCAATGATAGACCGCCTATGTTGGAGGATTTCTTGCTCTGACAGTACTTTCGAACTCCACCAACCTACATTGTTCTACTCAGCATCCACATTCCTTACAGGTTCCCAGATAGGCGTATTATTCGTCCTTTAATAAAATGCGGTCTTTATAAACTGGAGCACTTTCCCGTTTTTGAATAATTTCATATAGCAAATCAGCGAGGCTTTTTGACTAGAACGAATGGGCTATTGATTGTATTCTGAGAAGTATCAGTACAGGTGATCAAAAACACTCAACGTGGTCCGCAATTGTCTCAGCAAACGCCACAAATCCATTTCCCATACACTGCCATTGCTAGATAGGTTTAGTTTTCATCTGCGTTCTTCTTACTGAATATGAGAAGTAAACAATAGAGCGTAACGTAGAACTTCAAAGGAGAATGCTAGTGATTCATGATGTAAGAGAAAATAAACAATGACTTAATTTGATCAAAGTCCAAAGGATATTCAGGGTTAGATAGATTGCAACTCATATGATTCTGACATGATCTTTTACACAGTTTGGTTTTCCAAAAGTAGCGCTGGCTTATCATGACGTCAAATAAAACAAATAGTAATCTGCGATGAGCACCAAAATCAGGAACAGATGACACTAATAGAAACACGTACACTTACGACGCAACTGAAACATTTTCTTCACTAGCCTGCGTTTTCTGAGGTGACGGTGGCGGTTGACGGTCTTCTTTCAAATTTGCTGATGCTCCAATCTGGGCAGCAACACTTGTCTGTGGTGTCAGAGGGTCTGCCGGCCTCGGTGAGCTCGTCGCCGACGCTTGTGCTGCACTGAGCGCTCCATTTGACGGATTTCGCGACGGGATCGAAACATTCATCTAGAATGATGACGTATTGTAAGAGCAAGGATAAAAACTAGTAAGAAACTGTGGGCGATATTCAAAAATTACGACCAATTTGCAGCAAAGAAAGGCATAAACTGCATGACGCTGTGAAATTGCGATCTCTCCCAACACTACCTATTGCTACACCTTGATGCAACTATAAATAAACAAATAAACAAAATTTTGAGGAATGCAGGATTTCTTTACTAACACTATACCTTAGATCTTGACAGCAGATTACGCCACCAAAAACCGAATCGTAAAAGAGGGCATGCACTGGCAGAGCCCCTTGTTTTGGTAGCGCGCTACTGATTCATACTTACCCATCTAGTTAATAAAAACGCAGTAAAACACTAACCCATAACTGCTTATCACATTTGAAGCGGTATTAAAACAAAGTGAATTGAAACAAGAGAAAAAAAAAACAAAGGCCTTAGAAAATGTGAAAGCTGATGCTAAGGCTCACCTGTGGCGTGAGCGCATGGAAAGCCCAGAAGCCGACACGCTGCGTTGACCTCATCGGTGAACATCGTGCCCCATTCCATTCATGGCGCGACCGAATTGCATAACAATGGATTGTGCATCGCCAGGAATTGGCAGTCACATTCAGCACCACATCATTTGAGTAAACATGGAAATGTAAACCGGAACGTCCTATTAAACAAATCCTTACTTAACTCGCTGGCCTGTTGAGGTTCATTGCATGCAGCTGCTCCTGAGGCATCCAGCCTACGACGGCACCGCTCTGACAACCATTCCATCGGACATGCTTTGGGCCACTCTCGGTCACCGTTGTTATTCGTCATTCGAGGAGCCTGTGGCTCTCAGGCTTAATCTACACATTTCCCATCTACATATCATGGTTTGAACTCAAACGGTTATAGCAGCTCAGAACGAATTTCTTAAACACACAAAAGTTGTTTGTTTGTTTCTCACTTATCCTCTAGTGAAGCCCCACTTAGCTCCTGCTCTAGGCCAGCATTCTAAATTTGATATAACAATTTATTCGGGAGCTCTGGTTACATCACTTAATAAGTACAGACGTAGACTCATCATGGCGCCTTCATCGGTTAACACTATTTTACCTTCAAACCTAAGGCAGAAAAACATATAAAGTTTAATAGTCGTCAGCGCGTATAACATCTAGCTCGATATCATCGAACATTCGACAGGATGGGCTACTAGTTTGGCTTTGATTTCTGAGGCATCGCAAGATCGGGTGGCGATTGGGGAGCGATGGTGCTGATATAATTATCAGGGATGATCCCGAGTTAATTATTTCAAATGCAAACCAGGATATCGAAGTGTCGTGCAATTACTGGATGGGCAACATTCAGTCACATGCAGGCCTGATTGCATGCTTGTTCTCAACAAGAGTATGCCACGAATAGCAATTACTAAATGAAGATACGCAAGCTTCGATGAAATGGTGGAATTCGGCGCCACAAAACTGACTCGCTCATGCCCACATACTTTGAAACAAGAAGAAACCAATTCGAATTTTTTAACTAAAGCAAGCGACTTAACGCATCAGAACTACACTGATTACCCTATCGACTACGAAAAATTGACATGATGGCACAGCACAAAAAACTACTTATACCTTTTTAATGTAATTGTGAGGGTCAGATCCTTTGAACCGCCGCATCTCAAAAAATGATAAAGTCAACAAAGATGTATATCCAAAGTGGTAACTCTCATGCCAAAAATGGCCTCTCTCATACATTTTAATACAAAAAAATATTTCACTGTTAACAGATGTCATTATCCCCATACACTTTATGGAATTACTGAGTAAAAGTTCTCAAATTCAGAAATAGAGGATGAGTGAATGAAAACATTGCTTATATATTAGGTTGGAAAGAAAGTTCTGCAACACTCTTTTCTGGATTTTCTTTTTTTTGAAAAATTCGTATGTAAAATTTATAAACAACAGATGAAAGACCATTCTTGAGGTTTCCTTCCATCAGGCAAATGTAGGCGCTCCAACCACTACTTATCTAGGCAAGTTCAAAAAAAACTTCGACCACTAGCTCATTTATACTCCGAGTCGTTGTCAAATGAATATTTCCATACTTATGAAATGACGTCAACGACTAACACTATCTCCAGTAGCATAACGGGAACGCTGTTCACCGTTACAACCTGGGAGCGGTCAACAGAATCGTCCGGAGTGGCGCCGTCGCGCGCGGTTACTTGCGCGGCGTCGTAACGCGGCAGTTTTTTGATGGGCGCGGCAATAACTGACTTTGTCGATTGGAGCGATGAATAAGCTGTAGCACAATTAGCTAGCGCAATTCATTCTCGCGTTAGACGGGAACGGAGAAAGGAAAAAGGTCCACTGGAGCCGAAATCACCCATGCTTGATTGAAAAACAAATATTACAGGGAGAGTCGGTTTAGCGTCCCTTCAACAGCTTGTAGGAACTCGTCCACCGCCATCGCGACGTCGCGACTGCTACCACTGACGCGCGTCTTCGGACGATTCTGTTGACATGCACCAGTTACAGCCTGTTTCACCTGTACCAGCGCTTTCAATCTTTTGATAATTTATAAGAGGCCAGCAGGACCCCGCACTCTTCATTACAGGAAGGGCTGTAGGGTAGTATCGCGAAATATTTATTTCCTCCATGACATTGTGAATCATCATGATCCGAAATGAGCCCGGTAAGAAATTCTGGAGCTGCGGCAAGATTTCTTACCTCTCTTAGCGTATTCCCCTGGTCGAGCTATAAATGACTGCCACCTATCCTGGACCTTAAATCATCATCTTTATGACGAAATAATTAGACGATCAACTCCAACTCGAAAGTGAGGTCGCCTTTCTCGACCGCACTCCGCTGGGTTTTGGGGAAGGAGCATCAAGAAATTTTCTGAGCGTTGGAGACAAGTGGTGGACACTCATGGTAGATATAAGACCGGTCAGGAGTTGTAACCAAAAAAGATAAAATTAAAATCAAAAAAGAAAAAATGTTGCAGGATTTTCTTCCCATCCACAATAGAGGGATATATACCAAAACTGTTAAACCAGTAGTAAAGTTCAACCTGCAAAAATATCGTAAAATTTTGCATAAGAGCTTGAAAAATCTGTGAAAACTTTACCCATTACTATTCTATGAATTGGCAAGTGAATATAACAACATTTATGGCTATAATAATCCCACCAAAAAGTGTAATGCTTTATCGAGATCATGCATGAGGAGGGAGTTCAAGCAAAGCAGGATAATGAGCTTAACATGTTTATTGAAGGATTATTACGGGGGAAAACGATCGCATCTTACGCAAAGCGCATTAACCTTTACGCAATCGGAAAGAGTGCACACTAGCTGGACCTACACTACTCAAACGCAATAAAAGCAATTTGTTAATCGTTTGTGATTTTGGAATAGACAATGATCAGGAACCACATGCATCCGTAGTTTAGTGTTTCGGAACCTCTTCATTGAATTATCATATATCACACTCACAAACAACACTTTTTGAAGTACCACTACATAAGAAACCCACATGGCACTGTCTGGTGCCTTGCTTGTAGCTTATTGAAACGCGGTTACCGTGAGCTACCCTACATTACCGGGGAGATGGACTCATAATATGCACCAGTGGTATCAGAACTTTGAAGGGATCAAATAAAGTGTCACCATATGATATACATTGTGCCCCTTTGAAAAAAAAAACTTGGCCCCTTAGAAGCCGCGTACCCAACCAGGGTGAATTGCATGGCGTGCTATTCCATAGAATGGAATAGGCCCACAGCGAGTGCTTCGCTAGGACAATGACAGCGGTGAGGATATTCAAATAAAGCACCTTAAAAGCCTGCTCTAACCTTTATTTTTTAAACCACTCATCACTTAATCCAGTAGATGGGCAAACTCCATGCAACCTGATATTTAACAACCACTTTATTTTAAATAATTATCACCTATCGCTTATTGAATCACAAAACGCTGTCATAAAATAACTGCATGATGTAGAAACAATTATCCCAAACATCCGAAAATAGTAAACAGAATAAATATGACAAACAATCAACATACGCTCATTACTAACCTGGCCATCATCATGTTCGGCATGCCACCCATTAACATAGCTGCTTGCGCCTGTTGCGATTGCGTCTCTTCACGTCGAATTTTCTCTAACTCACCCAATGCGAAAGCCTGGAAATTTGTTCTATTAGTACATTAAAAATGCATATCAAAAAGTCGGATGAATAAGTCGTAAGAAGAATTTGATTGCGATGAAACAACAACAATCAATTTCGCGTAGGAATGCACAAGGCGCCACTCTAAATATAAAACAAGTCCTATACCGATATACAAAAATAAAACAAAACCTTATTTCAATGGTAACTCGTCAACATCTTTGAAGTTATTCTACTCGCAACCTCCTGTTAGTGAAAGAGCAGCCATATAACTATTGTGTTGAGTTAACACGTGCCAAATACAAGGATAACGTATGCCCAGGACATGAAGCTCTCCCAATAAATTGTGTTGGAACATAATATCGTAGCCTTTTTTCTAGCGTCTCAATTCAATCAACACAAATAATATAAAATATTATCCATGAAAAACGCACATATATTAATATCACACTCACAAACAAGTGAGGAGGGTACACTACATTAACAACCCACATGACACCGTCTGCGCCTACCTCGCCTTTAGCCTTACCCTGCAGCTACAATATACCCCGGGCAGGATTGGACGCACAAGTATGCCACGAGCTGGCCCATTCAAAACATTCAAAGCGCCGACTCAAATTAAGCGCCATATGAGCTTAACATTGCGCCTCTTTGAGAAAGAAACCATAGGCGTCACTCAGAAAACGCGCTACCAACCAGGGTAAATAGCAGGTACCAGAAACGCAAGTGGCCCCGCCATTTTATAGAATGGCGCCCCACAGCCGAGCTGGTACTAGGCGCCTCCCCAAATTCATAGCTGTGGAGGAGCTTGAAGGCACATTCCAGCGTAGAGAGCTTCGTGAACGCGCTTCCTTCAGTAGTTGTAGCTATAACCGCCTAGAGGGCAAGCACAAAGTGCTGCGCCCTCTCGGCCACGGAAAACCAACCGCATATAAGAGCGCCCTTGCGGCTCTGCCCAATGTAAGCTGACCCAGAGCCCCTGCCAGACTTTTGTCGCTTATCACGCCTGCTTGGTCTGGCGATCTTCTCTCTCTAGCGCTGCCTCACACCCATAGCTCTTCCTCTCCGCGCTAGATCTCTTATTCCCTGGAGCCACAGCGATTTAGCCGAAGGCCTGAGTAACCTTAGCCCCTAAGCGCCTTTGACTGACGAACCCTTTTCCTTTTATATTACTGACGCGCCCCACTTCCCATTTGATACATTCGCATTCGAGCCTACAAGAGCCCACAACAATGTGAATCCTGGGCGCCCATTGCCTATTAACAAAGATCTTTAGAGCGGCGTCTGACCACATACGCACGCACGCAGATATAGTAATATGATGTCTCAAGTCCTTTCAAACCTTTCTTTTTACATTCAATCATTGACTCACTCCAGCCTAGAGGAAACATGCAACCTAATATTTAACCATTTTACTTCAAATGGTTGTCACCTATCGCCAGTGAATGACAAAGCTCGACCATAATATGACCGCATGATGAAGAAACAATTCTCCCGAACATCCGAAAATAATAAACAGAATAAATATGACAAACAATAACATACGCCTCCAGTTAACTAACCTGGGCGCCCTCATCATGTTCGGGCATGCCCCCCCATTTATACAATAGGCTGCTTGCCCGCCTGTGCCTGTTTTGCCGATTGCGCTCTCTGTCACGTCGAGAATTTTCGCTAATTCACCCAATGCGAAAAGCCTGCCCGAAATTTATATCTATTAGCTACATAAAAAATTGCATATTCAAAAAGCCGGTAGCGAATAAGTCGGTAAGTAGAATTGATGTTGACGAAACAACAACAATCAATTTCGCGTAGGAATGCACAAGGCGTCACTCTAAGTATAAAACAAGACCTATACCGATAAACAAAAATAAAACAAAACCCTATTTTAATGGTGACCCGTCAACATCTTCGAAGTTATTCTAGTCCAACCCCCCGTCAGTGAATAAGAGCCCCATATTACTATTAGCGTTGAGTCAACACGAGCCCAAAGCGAACAAAGAACAAGCGCATAACGCCTATCCCCAGGACATTAAGCGTCACAATTAGTGCCGCCCGTTGCCGAACATACATAGTGCTTTTGTGGTTTTACTAAGCGATTTTTCTGCGCGCCTATGCAAGCAACAAATACAAATAATGAATAACATCATTTATCGAGAAAAACCCCGCCAGTGTCAATTTGATTAGAACAGTACTATTGCCGCCTCCTACAACAATTTCGGCCTGTCGCCTTTTGCCTTACCAATATAAATCAACCCAAAGTAAAGTTGAAGGGAAAAAAATGAGAGGCGCCGCCAGATAACAGCATTGTCGGAATAGACCCGCTGGAGCTGCTTTGAGTTGGAATAAAGAAGCAAAGTTCATGAAAAAAGAATTTCAGAGAATCACCGCCCCTCCAGCAAACCATAGTTCAATAACCATACTTCCCGCCTCAGTTGTTGCAAACCATATGCACGTCGCTGGCAAAACGACAAGATTAGAAACGGAAATGCGGCGCTACGATACTTATTTTGATTTCAATCCTCTGGATTGGAACTAAAAAACTACAAAATGTCAAAATTGTAAATAGTGACAAAGAAAATATTACTGATTAGTTTCGTGTTTTTATTTTTGTTCCAAACGTTTGAGCCAAATGTGAGCTCTACAATACTATGTTCCGACCCAATAAGAGAACAAGCATAGGCGAGTCTTTTTTCGCTAGCGATCTCCTGCAATATTAGGGCAAAAAATACAATAATACAAAAACAAAATGTGCGACAAACAGAAACGGTGCACTACGAACCACTAGTACTATTCATAAACGAAGAAAGTAAAACGCATGACCGGATAACTCTGCTGGCTAGCCATTAGCGCAGGCCGTGGCTAACCGTCGATATAAATGATGCCAGCTCGCTTTTGCCTAGCCTCTGAGCTTGTATTACATTTCCATCTGCCCCCCAAAAAATGCCGAGACTGCTTACACCGCAATTCGATTTTAAATAAAATAGTCCACGGCTTACCTTGGCAATTAGAGCCCAATTTATTTCAGATGTGGTTGTTCTGACAGTCGTCGCGAGGTACAATTCTTACAAGGAAGGATGGTAGGTCGAAGTGGCCGTTCGAAATGAAATGTATACCTCCTGATGCGTCTCCAGACGCTGATTCCAAATCTGCCTTCCAAATCTGCTAAACGACTCTCCGAACGGAGTTATGAAGCGTAATAGCTCAGTGGTGATGGTCCGGGGTGGCAGGTAAAAGCTCGTAGGATCGGTTCCTTTGCAAGTTTGTTGCTTTGCTTTTGTCCGCAACACTTCTAGAGACAAAAGCAAAGCAACCAATTTGCAAAGGAACCGATCCTACGAGCTTTTACCTGCCACCCCGGACCATCACCACTGAGCTATTACGCTTCATAACTCCGTTCGGAGAGCCGTTTAGCAGATTTGGAAGGCAGATTTGGAATCAGCGTCTGGAGACGCATCAGGAGGTATACATTTCATTTCAAACGGCCACTTCGACCTACCATCCTTCCCTTGTCAGATAAACAGTCACATAGCCCCAAGAGAGCTTACTTGGCCTTTTGAGTGCCGCTGCCCTCGCTCAAAAGCGTTGAGTGACTCTGCTTTTGAAAACCTGTGCTTCGTATCCTGGAACTCATATTAATTTCCACAAACAACGTTGTACAAAACACATAGTGGAAAAGAAAGCAAAAAAAGTATTGAATCGACAAAAAAATGCAAGAATATTTCAGCTTACACAACAGAAAATGAGAATCAAAAAAAATGCAGCAAAAGAATGTCAGTATTTGTTGCACAAAAAAAGAAGAAAACAAAAATTCAAGTTAAAATGAACTTCTTGAAAACTCATGCTCGAACTGAAGGCATTACCTATTTTAATATACATAAACAATATAAATATAAAGGAGATCACGGATTGAAATATATGAAGCGCCGAATATTGAGCCTTTCGTCTGGAATGGCCCAAACAGAATTTATTGCACATATTCGTTTTGTTTGCCTTGCTTCCAAGCGGCGCCCCATTTTTTTGTCATGCGGCCACATGTAGAAATTAATCTGATCATTTAAAGTCTCCATGCAGAAGCCGGCAAAAAATTCAACGCCGGATCCAACACTACAAGCCCGTCAATGCTTTCGCAACTGCCACCATTTTGCGGGTGTCTTGTACAAATATGTATAGCTGCTGAATCAGCGGAAACCAAGTCCGACATGTCGGTATTAGAGAAATCGAAATTCGCGGATTTCCCCAGTTCAAAAAAATCTTTTCCCGTCATTCCTCGATAAGACCACCTTGAACAAATCACAAAAGCTAACTCACCCCCTTCACCAGCGTCTCTCACCAATCACTAAAATGAGCAGGGCAATCTGCGGGCGTGCACATAAACCGGCAAAGCGAGAGAATGTTACCCACATCAACACCACAACTATAGGAATTATACAGTGAAAATATTAAGACACTACTTCAGGATTCAGCCGGACCTTACCGCCGCTACTTAACAAATAATGTGAACCAATGCTATTTTTGTTCAGATGGATTTCACCTGCTCCATGCTCGAATAACTCTGTGATGAAGACAAAATTTCGAAGACGCTCTTCTTCTTCAAGCATCAGAAATTTCGGTCAAAAAAATCTGTGAAATGAGTGGGTGAGTAACTGTGCACAGAAATTACGCCAAGATATGATTTTCAATTGAAGCATTCTAACAGCATGAATATACAAACCATTCAAATAAAATCTGGTTCAACGAAAGGATATTCAAAACTGTGAAGCTCTGTTACTGCTTAATCATCATATAAGTCACAACGTTCATAAACCCACCATTTTCACCTTCTCGACTTCCTGCTTGCTCATTTGTAATTGATTCGCTAACACCGTCATTTCTTTCCGGACCGCCTCTAAATGCTCCCCGCAAGAGAAGGACATCGGATGTTCTGAAAAACGGAAACGATGAAAATTGCTACCTCTACATGTTGGACGAGGAAATTACTGCCCAACGCGAGCAAAACGTTATATATTACATTACGAAAAAGAAACGAAAAGAAAACGATTCAGAGCGACAGTTTTGATGACATGTACCGCCTTCAACATTTGCACATTGGATTTTCTATTCGCGACAATTCCTTCCAAATGAGAAACTAATCTGACCAAGAGAAAATCGATTTCCAAGTACAATTCTTTTTGTGTATTGATCCTCAACGCAAACAATATTTCACAAGACTTAATTTTCCATGTGTAACATGCAGAAAAACTCGAATTTAGTATTGAAGGCTAATTCCAAAGCTGAGATGAATCTAACGAGTTACTTCTATAAGAAAAACTCGCAATTCGAACCCGCAATTGCTGACATATAACACAAAAGATCAATACACATCAAAGCCGTCATGTCATCAGAATCGTATAAAGACTCACATCTGATAGAATGATCGCAAGTAGTTCAAAAGAAGCATGAATGATCAGATGTCAAAGCAAAGTGACATGAAAATAAGATGTGAAAAGCTTTTAAAATCTACTAGGAAGTCACGAGAATCCAAACAAGGTGAAACAGAGATATTCGGTCCTTATTATGAAACAGAAGATAATGACAAAACGCGCTACCTCAACTTCTCATTGCTGAAAAATGCGAGAAACCTGGGGCGCGCTCGAAATTCAAATCACACCAACGATTTGGTGTAATTGCACACCAACTCACAAATCATCTATTTGACGGCAAAAAAGTCCCTCGCAGAGCACATGGGCACATTGGCGTCAAAGCATCTACACCATGATCGATCGCCCAATCGATCAATCATTCAACCAGAAGAACTGTGAATGGGCGTTGTTAGGTAATGACATAAACGAAAAAAACGACACTCTCAGACAAAGTAGGCCCGAAACCGGTTCGGCGCTGGGGCGGCGCGCAAGCGGCGACGATGACGATGACGATGACGGCGACGACGTCGACCTCTGTCTGTATGAAGGTGAGTACATGCGAATTTCTCTCCACCCCGCTATCGTCATTCGAAATCAGGTACAAAGGCAAATAATCGCTGAGGCGCGAACACGATTACGATCGCCTATTGGGTATCGCAGCATATAATCGATGTCGTAAAGAAGCGGTCGCGTCAATTATGCCTCCTCCTTTAGCCCTTCTTCAGTATCACCGCCGATGTTTCCGGGTACCGTTGTCGTCGCTGAGGATAGGGCCAACCGTCCGTTGGCCCTACCCTTAGCGACGACAACGGTTGTTGTGTTGGTACAAGAATAAACGGCAGGAGGGGTCGTATTTGCGATTTTGGGAAGGGGTCGTATAGTGAGCCACACTCCCCTCATGGTTGTGATGTGGATGAGTGGAGGGAGGGGGCAGAAATCCCCTAAGAGGGTGGAGGTCGAAAACATTTCCAAAAAGTGCGAACGCGACGGTTGTCCCCGACTGAGAGGCAGAAAAGTCAGGAGCGCATTCAGCGTTCCACCTTTTCTCACTTATCACTCTATATCCATGTTCATTGTCCGGATAAAGACATAAAACGTGGCGATCTCCACCGTACAGTATATGAAGCTGCCCCAACAAACCGGATTTTGAGCTTACTCCCCATCATTTCTGCTTATTGTAAAGGCCCTCTCAATCAAAGAACTGATTTCTCTCAAGCATAAAGCAACAGTCCCAGCAGGGTTTTTACCTTCGACACTAATGGTGTGGAACGATGCGCTAGCCCTAGTCAAGAACATAAGAAGTGTGACTGAACAAAAAATCACCTTGGAAAGCCGCTAGAAAGGGAGCTGAACAGCTTCGAAGTGGGCGTGGTTTCAATCGGCTGCAATCCCCTCGGCCGATTCCAACCACGCCCACTTCGAAGCCGTTCAGCTCCCTTTCTAGCGGCTTTCCAAGGTGAGTTTTTTGTTCAGTCACACTTTTTATGTTCTAGCGCATCGTTCCATACCATTAGTGTCGAAGGTAAAAAACACTGCTGGGACTGTTGCTTTAAGTCTCATCTTTATTGGCTACAGCTAAAATGTAAGACAAAAAAGCTACTTAGGAAAGATCTCAACAAAGTGAGCGAGACAGCACTTATGTGAATTAATTTCAAGTTTTCGAACATTTTCTCATCCGCTTTCCTCTGTACTTTAGTTCACGAGCAAGGATCAAAACGAGGATGCGGTTCGTGCATCCTGAGCATGCGGCCGCAGAGCGGTCACGCTGACCAAACAGCGTAGGCAGCAGATTGAAGATTTAGGACTCTACCACTAGTTTCGGAGGTTCAGAATGTCATATGGATGGAAATCGAATTGTGCTCCAATGTTCCCGTAGCTACAGGGTGTTGATTACGCTCTACTACTGGTTGCTTGCACCGTAATGCTCAGTACTACTGAGCCTATGGGCTCCAACTTCACGCTCTTTAGTTGAGCTGATAAAACCAAATATTGAATCTGGAATTAAGAATTCATCAGAAATTATCCATTACTCTCAACTCAATTTTTGCTGGAGCGATTGCGATCAATGATAGAACATACTAGCAGATCAGAAACCGCGACGCGACCGCGCTCGCCACAGCATTTTCTCTCATAGTGAAGAACGGACTGTCATCTGAAAACTCGCACTACAATAAACTTCTTCACCACGTGAAATGTGGGAAACATTAACCTAGAAAGATCGACGCTGCCAAAGAAGCCGGAAGGTGGGATAATTAGGACATTCTACTGAAAACCATTAATCCTTCAGGAATTTTAATGGGATGTGTCCGAGGCAACATTTCACGTCAATACACTCTAATCACAATGCGCCGCATTCTGAGGGCCAAATCTACAACGAACTACTCCAGACAATTTCAACGCATAGATAGCAAGAGTTATCGCTGAACACCATAAAAAATCATGAAATATGTTCTACGCATGTTGTGACGAATCACAACGGGTCCGACTCGGAATGAAGGCCTTGGAGGGGTCGTATTTTTGGTGCCGCACTGAAAATTCTGGTGATTCACGAGTATGGATAGTGGACCCGAAGAAGAGCAAACCAGCAAAAAAGTGTTTTGATAGTTAACGCAATAGCGAAAGCACTTTCTCCCTGCACCGACGCATCAGAACTGAAGATTGCAGCATGCCTGAACAAAAGTAACTCCGCAATGATGACAGCCACGAACCACCATACTCGCAGAACTAATGCCTTTAGAGACCAGCATGATAGCCGGCACGATACGTTTCGTAAGATTACTGATACTAGAGCATCTGTAAACCACGCTTCCCTCTGAATGAGCTTTCAAATGAATCAGCGAATTAGAAGGGCGCCCGAGGCGTGGCGCGCACCAAGGGAAGGGATGTAGTGCAAGCGCATGCTCGGAGCATTCTAGCACATCCTAAATTAAACATGAAATTGGTCTTGCGAGATGTTACGGGCAGTGGAACTTAAGAAAACTCGCGCTTTCGAGAAAGTGGCTCAAAAAATACCCCTCAAATTTGAGGGTTACAACGGGACTAAATTTTGAACTACTGATTTTTCAGGAACGCTTGGGTACTCGTTAGAAAGCTTGAATCCTGGAGTGTGTTATATCGCGTTCAGCTTCCTAAATGAATGACTTTTAAGGAAGTTATGATCGTTTGAAGGTAAAAAAGTCGCGTTTTCAAAGAAATGGTTACACCAGCCCTTTATAATGGTTACAACGGGACTAAATTTTGAACTACTGATTTTGCAGGAACGTTTGGGTACTCGTTAGAAAGCTTGAATCCTGGAGTGTGTTATATCGCGTTCAGCTTCCTAAATGAATGACTTTGAAGGAAGTTATGATCGTTTGAAAGCAAAAAAGTCGGTTTGCACCAGAGAAAGTCACAACGTCCAAAATTTTTAATAAATTAACTTTCGAAGAATTTATACCCATGATTGGCTAGAGAATAATTTGAATTTTTTAAATCAAATCACTATGGCGCTGAAGCTCGAACATGAAGGAAGTTATAGCCCTAGAAAGAGGAGTGTAAAAATTCTCTTGCAACTCCATTTCTTGCTTATAACTTCCATTGGACGGTTGAGAAAAAATCAGGGCACTCCCCTGAGAACGAGAACCGCTCGCATCCCCCGTACCTCCCTCCGCCGAGATATCTTCCGGACTACCTGAAATTAAACAAAAAAAACTCCTAAACTTTTCACATTCCCGTTCGACGGCTCCTCACCTTGAGCAGATGCGCTCCACCGTCAGCAAGGCAAAAGGGCGCCAACCAGCAAATTTGAAATCACATCGCATGATTGAAAGAGCATGGTTTCGTCTGACTTATTGTCTTTACAATCTTTCTGAACAGTTTGCACACATCTTCAAGCGGGCAAAAAATTTATTGATAGATGACTCATTTGCGAAGTTTTCATTCAACGGCGGTCCACAATGTGTTAAGGCAACTGATTCAGTTTAGCGATCTCTAGGTTAACCCCTCGGGGTACCCTTCGGGTACCTTCGAGTGCATCTCATTATTCGGAAGCTGATTTGACTTGAGTAGCAATAAATATTAAGGTCAATCTGTCTTTACACAAGTGTAACGTACAAGGGGGGGGGTCGTATCAAATCAACCATGAAGGGGGGGGGTCGTAAAAAATTTTCGAAGAGTCACAACAGTAGGGTTCG